GATCTGTGAGCTGGGCAGTGGGACACTTGCATCCAGTTTGAGCATCCCAGAAATAACCTACCTGACTCAAAGAAGGTTTGGAAACCTCTCCTCAGGGCCCAGCACACCTTGGTGCAGGAGGAAGAGCCCAGTGTGGGTGGCCTGGACCTCTCTCCAGGAGCAGCCCTCCCACAGCTCCATCTACTCGTGGCTGCAACCCAAATCCCTGCCAACATTGATTTTTCCCTGCACCAAATTGTTTAAAAAAATTCCCCCAGTGTGGACTCAAAGAAATGCAATAAACATTGTTTGTGTGGCTCCTTGGGAGCTCAGTTAATGGGCTGCCTGGAAGGACTTTCTAGGCAAATGTGCTGCTTCTGACCACACACACTGAAACCCCACCTTGCACTCCATCAGTGCACCCCATCAGCCCCTCAGTGCAATACCCTGCTTCTGCCTATTGTTCAAGCTTCAGGTACCACGTTTAGCCAAACAATAGCTAAGAAACAAAAGACATTTTAAGTGACTTGTGGCATCTGTTGAGCACCAGCTGCCCTTTTTGTGTTCTACCATGTCTTCTGTCCTGATGCTCTGTGCTCAGGTCTCCTGGGTCCCATCCAGCTGCAAAAGCCCAAAGCTACAGTCAGAGGAACAATCTAATCTGGTAGGAAAATAAAACAGCTGATGACTCATAAAAGCAAAAGGGACAGATATTTGAAAAGGAAAATAGCAGAACAGATTCAGGTGTGAGTACTAGCACAGGAGTGCCTGGAAAAGTAGCAAGTTCTGCAGCATTTTTCCACTTGAGCCCCCACTCAGCTTCAGTGGAGCCAGGACTCAAACCTGTGGTTCCAGGTAGCCTTAATAAAGCTTGGATCTGAATTAAACCACTCTTCTGCATGCCTGGGGATGTGGTGGCATGTGGCAGCCTTGGCTGCTTCAGGCTGCCTTGGAGCTGAAGAATCTGAAGGAACATGTTCATGAGTGACAGCCCAAAGCAGTGGGACAGAGTTGTGTGCAGCCACAGGAGCTGGGGCTCTGCTGGAGTCTGAGATAGCCTGAGGGGGAAGGAGCTGTTTGCAGGTTTCCCATGGGGAGCTGAATCCAAAATCAACTCGTTTGAAGGCAGCAACAACAGCACAAGACCCTGGGCAGCACGGGGATGGATGGGTGGCTCTAGGAGAGGAGGATGGCAGGCTGAGTTCACTCACCTGAATGCCCCCCTTCCCCTGGAGGAGCAGCAGGTGGAGTCAGTGGCTGCTCTTCAGGGTAAGAGGAACCCCAGACTGGCTCAGACACCCCTGTGACGGGGAGGGGTGGGGAATAATCCCTGGGATTGATGGGACCCCCTCATAGCCCAGCTGTAACACTTGGGGCTGTTACCTCTGTGGTCCCTTCTCTCTCTCCAAGACAGTGTAACAAGACCAGTGCAAATCTGAAGAAGAGAGATTTCCTTTACTTGAGGATTTCTATTCAAAGTTACAACTATTGACAGATTTTTTTTCTATGGCTACACTTGGTGGAAGCTGATAGTATTTATTAAGTTGATCTCAGGCACCAGAGCTGGATACACAGGCAATCACTGGAGCCTGTTGTGTTTGCATGAATGTACTAATCCTGCCTCTGCTTCCTGAATGCACAAAGTGATGTATAGGATCACTCAGCTCCCAGAGACTTGGAGATGGCTGCAGAGGGCGAGACAATGTTTTTAGTAGGGAGAACTCCAAGGCGAGCTATTTTGGTGCCTCAGGATCATTAACATTTTTGAATGTCTGAGAAGCTGCTAACATTTATAAGACATTACAACCAAGATTCATTCTCCCAAATGGAGAAAGAGCTCCTATTTTTCACACACACTCTACATATTGATAATTTTCTCATTTTCTGATGACAGGGATTTTTATCTCCACTGAGACAAGATGACTGATAGATGGAGATAAGAATTTCTCATAAAGAGAAGCAATGCATTTTTACACAGCTGAGGCTGGAAGAAAGCAATAATTGTCCTAATACATAGGTACAGCCCTCCAGAATGGCTGATTATTTCCTTCAAGGTTCAGTCATCACTGACCAGAATGCCAGGCATGTCTTCCCAAACCAAGATGTGAGCTGAGATCAGTGCAAACAAACCCTCACCCCTCTGCCCACCTGCTGTGCTGCTGTTGGGTGGTGAAGGCTGGTCCTGGGTGGAGATGCCAGCCTGGGATACCCCAACCATGGTGGGTCAGACCAGCAGAGATTCACCAACACCTCTGTCATGGTGAGCCCCACAGTGAGCCACAGAGTTGGCACTTGGCATAGGCTTAGTTCAGTTTTAGGGTCATTCTCAGCAAGTGCTGGGGTGCTTGGAGAGCCCCTGGAACTTGAGGCAGGAGTTAGAGCTGCCACTGCAGAACTCATCTGGAATCTGCCTAAAAAAATGACAACAAAAACCACCCAAACCCCCTCAAAACAACAACAATAATAATAAAAAGAAAAAATAAAACAAACAAACAAAACCCCCACTAAACCTCCCAGGAGAAAGCCAGAGAAACTGCTTCCAGCTCTTGGGCCAGGACAAAGCCTCAGAGCAGCAGGAGAGCAGGAGTACCCATTCTCAGCATCACCACCACTTCTGTCCCCCTAGAACAGCTGAGCAGCTTTGCTTCCTGCAGGGATCTTCTGGAACTGTGAGACTTTTCCCATGCTAGACCACATCTTGCAGGGTTGTAGCTGTTGTACTGGTACACACAAGCCAAAATTTACACCCCTTTACCTGCTTTCCTCCCAGCCTTCTCTTACACCTGTTTTCCCCTCTCACTATCTGCATATTCTGTTATTTTCTGCTGTTCCTAATAGCTTCCATCTATGCCAAGTCCCATCCTACTCAGCTCTCTTTAAACCTCAGACCTTGGGCAGAGCTTTTCTGCATTCATCTCCCAGCCAGCTTTTGTCTCTTTGACATCTAGGTTCTCTTTGTTTGTGCTTTTCTCTCTGGATCTGGGAATTATTCTGCTTCAGTTGATACATGGATACAGGCGCTGATATTTTGTTGAACTCCGTGGGATCTCTTCTGCTTAGCAGGTGCAGTGGTGGGTATGACTGCTCCTGGCACCAGCAGCACCCACGGTGTTGGAAAGGCCTTGAGAGGCTAATGTGTATCTCAAGCAGTAGGAAGCTTATCTTGTGCTAGACACTGGCTTGAGAGAGACATTATCCCTGGCCAGCTCCAGGGAGACATTTTCCATGGCATCCCTGCCCAGGAATAGATCCTGACTTAATGTAACAGAGGAACTGATTGTACAAGAGTGTGCTGCTCACTGGAGGATGGCACGGCCAAAGTGAATGGCATGGGGTCACCACTGCATGTTTTGTTCTCTGATGCCTCAGATCAGGATCTTGATAAAAAGCTTCGGATCTGAGCAGCTCCTGCTGGCAGCAAGTGCTCCCCCTGGAGCATGACAGGTCCCAGAATATGTGTGCCAAGAGGATCTTTTATTTGGAAAACAAATGGTAATGCCTATTTATAAACCTCAGCTTAGAGTAAGGCAGGCCAGCAGGAAAAAATGCACCCATGGGTGAGTGAAGGTGCTTGGTGAGGAACAGGGCAGCCCCGAATTATGGGACAGCAGTGAGCAAGTGACTTTGCCTTTTCTTTTTTGCCTCCTACTGATTTAGTCTGGAAGCATTTCAGTGGGCACTTTGTCCAGTTATATGGTGATAAAACCCTGGACTCAATAACTGAGATCTGCTATCTGGCATCAGAGCAATACAAATAACAATAAAACAAACAAAATAGAGGTGAGCCAGGCTGGTTTTCACTTGGAAAAACATCAGTGATCCTTATAACTCACTAGCTCTCCTCCAGGGCCACCACTGAGGCTGAACTTGTAGGGAGGCTGTATTTTGCTCAGGTCCTTCTAAAAAAGGTTCTCCCAGGGGTTTTGGAGGGTTGATGGTTGCATATCCACATCAACAGGACCATGTATAAGCAGTCTTTTTTCAGAGCAAAAGCCTTTTAGCATCTGACCCCCATTGAACCACAAGGCTGAAGAAACAGCACAGCATGGAGAGGCCACAGCCCATGGTGGGGCAGACAATCCTTGAGGCCTTGGTTTTCATCTGGGGGAAAGAAACAGAGGAGGGAGCCTGGAGGAGGCCCTCAGGCTGGCTGAGGTCACCCATGGGATCCTGAGCCATGGCTCTGTCATGCCACGCAGAGTATCATCACAACAGCCCTGATGCATCCAAAACACAGAGAAGCGGCCAAGTCCAGCTGGAGGTTGATTCCTGCTATTGAGATTTTTATTTATTAATTTGTAGCTCACTTGCTTTCTTTTGGCACCATTTTTCTCTGCAAGTGAAAAATTTCCCCTGAATCACTACGTGTTATTTCCACTTGTCAAGATAAAGGTTAGTGAAATACCAGTAACTGCATCACAAATCCAGCTCCATATCTATCCAGGATTTTATATGGCAAGTTATACTGCACAGCCTGTTCCTAGAAAAAGCTGTTATTAAAAAAACTAAAACTGTCAGAGGTCAAGAAATTCATAGAGCAGCATAGCCTCTGCCTTTCTCTCCTCACATCTTGCCTGCAGGACAAGGAATAAAAAACCTCCTGGAACTGGCACAAACAAGTGTGGGACAAGATTTCCTCCAGCACACAAGATTCTGCAGAACTGTGGTATTTAAAGAGCATTTTAGTTCGCAAATGTTTCCTGCATCTGGAAAATGGTTACTTGGATATTTATACACTACATAAATAATATATAAAATACACAAATACCATAGAATCATAGAGTATCTTGAGTTGGAAAAGACCATTGAGTCCTATAAATAGATACAGAATTTAGAAGCAACATGATGCTATAATTGACATATATCTTTCTTCAAATAGATTTGCACCAGAGGCACAAGGAGAATTTGACACACTTGCTGCAAAGAGGTTTTCATGCCCCGAACGTGAAACCACCAGGACTGGCTGAAGGACACTCTGTGCCCAGGGACTGGGGAGCTGAGACCTGAAATGGGCGAGCTATTTTACTGCTATTTTACTGCTGCAAACGCCTCTTCAAGATGTGCTGGCACAGCCTCACTCCCCAAGTTAAACCCTTGGAAACACAGAAGATGCCCCTGTCCAGCAGCAGTTGGGGCACGTGAAGTTTCAGGAAGGAAGGGAGGAGCTGCTTTGTTTTCTTCCTAGGGAAGGCCAGCAATGGGGTGAGTGTTGAGAACTGCCATTTGGGGTGAGTCAGGAGATTGGCATGGGGTGGTTTGCATTAATACTGGCTTGAACACATGCCAGAGAGGATTTCCAAAATTCACAGCCAGTTATTTCTTGTCATAGAGATCCTATAGCCTGTTCTTCCACTCTGAGGCATGCAATCAAAAGCCTGCAGAAATTATTCTGAGAAGGTTTGTTTGTGCTGTAAATATATATTTAAAATCTTGAATAAAGATGACTAAGTTTGAAGAAAAAACCAAAACAATAACATCTAACAGAGCAACCCATCTTACAGAGAATCTTATCCCTCCCTTGGAAGTGGATTGAAAAGCATTGTTATGAAATCCCAGTGCAGATTTTATTATGGGCTAAATCAAAATGCTTTGGAGTTTTTGGAATTCAGATCTGAAGTTCAATGTTTCAGCCCATATGCTCCATCTAAAAGTAAGATAAATGAAAGGATGTGCTTTTTCTTCCTTTTGATATGCAAAGATTTAGATGAAATGCTTACTTTCCAATTTGCTTTTTCAATAGAATTTCACTAGAGATCCTACCAACATTAAATACTCTGTGAAGCCTCAGGAGCTCCTGAGATGATGGATGACATCAAGAGCCAAAAGAACATGTACAAAGCATCTGCAGAAAGAGATCCTTAATGACTGTGTGAAGTCTGTTGATTTGTTGCCAGGTACTTAACTTAAAGCTTGTGTTGTCGTATATCTAACTACAATGAACCAGTTGCAAAAAGGAAATCTCTGTTAAAAAATTCAGTCCTGTCCCTTCAGCTGCAGTGTGAGCAATAACACACTTCGTTGGATACTCTCAGCAAGTCTCTCATTAAAACAGTAGCACCAGATGAGATCTGATTTTCCTAATATTTGTAGACTACAATGGAAATATTTGAGATTTTATGTATTTCTGAAGAATAGAGTTAAAAAAACCAGCAAAACAATTAATTTTAATTTTAATTTTTCAGTATTTTACTACTGAAGTTTAATATCAATAATAATATTTTTATTTTTGAAAAAATTGGCCACTAGATGACTTTAATTGTTATGGCCATGCTTAATTTTTGGTATCAAATTCTTATCTTTAAAAAATTCTGTTCTTTCTTTTTGTTAATCTTATATTCTTCAGCACATGCTCTCACTCTCCATGTCAGCGTTTGCAGCAATGGGATCCTCACTTTGGAAATTTCAGCTGCTTATAGGAAGTTTAGGTGTTCAAATGACCACTGCAATGGGCTTGTATAACATCTAAGGCACAGAAATCCACCATAATTTTGAAGAATAAAGTGGGAATTAATTTTTCATTATTGGAAGAAATACTTTGTTTTCTGCTATTACAAGGAATGATCAAAGACTCGGAGCCCTTTGGAAAGAGTTTCCAATAGTGTGGCATTTAATGTGAGCAATTTGTGATTACTGTTGGAGCACAAAAACATTGTAAATCTGATGAAGGAGAGGCCAGAAGGCAGGATTGAGCATCTCCCGTGTCCTAGATTCAGCAGAGGAACTGATGTGAAAAAGAAGCAGGATCTGCTGGATGGAAAGCTCAAATGATGTATCACAGGAAATACAATTTCCCTGCTGTTTGCACAGGCTCTAGTCCAGAAGCAGCAGTGCATCTGGGTAGTGGATTTGCAAAACGTTTGCTGGCTGTGGTTCCTCCTCCAGGTTTTCAGAAGATCCACCCAAAGGGAACAGGCTCAGGTGCAGAGACTTTCCCCATTCAGCCAGCAAGGAGGGCACCAATGCTTCCTTTGAACAGAAATGCCTGAATATAAACATCTACATATCTTTGGCAGCTCTTGACTACAAGATATGAAAAGGGAATTGCCTGTTTTCTGTTTTAAGCCAAACACAAATTTTGAGCAGCACACAGAGACATTTGTAGGAATTCTCCACCAAGCATAAGCCAGTACAGAATCAACAAGGCAGACCCTTGGGCATGGTGCATGGTCCTCCCAGCAGGACATAAATCTGCCCTTAATGGGAATTACTTCATTTCCATTAGGTGGGAGTTAGCCCACCAGTTCAGCACTGCTCCAAAGGGGTTATCAGGGGCCATCAGGTTTCATAAGACTTAAGTGCAACTTAATTGTCTTTGAAAGAGGATTTTTTCAGCTGGAGCAAGAGCAGCTTGGTCAGGGCAGTGCCTGTGGCTCACCTAAAAACTCCCCCAAGCACAGCACTGAGCTCTGTGGGTCATGTGGAAGAGAAGAGAGAGCACCTCTGGGAAAAGAAGTGCTGTGATAAGATTTGATTCAGAGAAATTCAGGACTTCTGTAGTGTAACGGTTTAATATCAGCCAAGCAGATAATTTCACTTATTGCTCTCTCTTCCAAAAATACCACACTGAGGTGCTTGGAGGGCCCAGCTGCAGTCAGACCAGAGCATCCCCCTGCTCTACCTGGATTTCTTCCTAATTCAGAAGAACTGAGAATTCTCTTTCTGTGTAGGAACACAGATTCATGCCAGCATGTGAGTCCCGTGTGCTGTGGGTTTGTCAGACAGAGGCACAGCCCCTGTCCCTCCAGATCAGCTCCAGACATTGTCCACAGCCCTACATTGACTCACCTGTCTTATCATTTTGGGTGTGGGGTCTGGTTTGCCTTCAGTCTTTTCCTGGCACATGCAAATCCAGATTACCTGGATATTCAAATCAAGTTCATTGTCATGCTAGCTGTACACCTTATAAAGGGATATTGATCAAGAAAGAATAATGAGCCTTCAAATTCCCCTAAGCTGTAAGGACAAAGTGCTCAAGTAAAACATCCCTCATTCTAAATGGGTCCTTACTTCTAAGTCTTTTGCATACTCAAAACAAGGTAAACTAAACACTGGGACAAATGGATGAAGCTAAGTACTCCTCAGAAAGATGGACGTCTGTTTTACCCTCTTCCTTTCAAAGTAATTCATGCCATCATCCTGTAAAACAATCTGAATAAGTCCCTGGAACGCAAGACATTTCTTTGAGACCCTCTGACTCATTGACTTTTCTCTCTTTCTGTCCACAGTGAATCTTGCTGAACAGGCTGAACCAAAATTATCTTCTTGCAAACATTCTGTAAATAGATCAATGCCGTATCCTGTATCAAACACTCCCTACCTGGAGCCCATTGAATAAATGGATGTCTTTGCTATGAAATTATAAACCAGAACTTCATGTGGCATCATACCCATACAGATTTGAAATAATTTAGCTTTCAGCAGGGTTTTCAGCATTTCAATAAGAGCAGTATAAATAGCCACAGTGTCTCAGCATTGCAAAGGACAGGGATTAAGGTCAGCAGCCACAGTGCAGTGGTTGGCCTTTGAAGACTGGAGCGGACTACAGAAGGTGCAGGGTACCTGGGGCTCCCATTCAACTGTGGATGCCTTGTATTACTTGATTATCACTCTGGAGGGATTTGAACAAGAAGCAGATGTGTGGAAACTTGCAAGATACTTTTGAATAACAGAAGGTCTCTTGCAGAGAGGACAAGGCTGGTTCAAGACCACAGCACTTGCTCCTGCGTGGAGCAAAGTTCCCTCCTTGCTCCATGTTGTCCCGGTGGAGCACAGCTCACCCACACAAAGGAAACCTCACACCACAGGGGTTTGCTGGGTAAAAAACAAGTCACCCCTGAGATATCAGCACTGGAGAGAAACAGTGGAAGAGCTGCAATGGGTGCTCCTCACCTCATGTGACTCACCTCAAGAAGATGTGTGGGTTTGGGTATTTTTAAAGCTGACAGAGGGCAGGTTAAATTAGGTACAAAGAAGAAATTCTTCCCAGTGAGGCTGGTAGTGTACTGGCATGGATTGCCCAGAGAAGCTGTGGCTGCCCCGTCCCTGGAAGTATCCCAGGCCAGCTTGGATGAGGCTTGGAGTAACCTGGTCTGGTGGAAGGTGTCCCTGCCCATGGCAGGGGTTTGGAACTGGATGAGTGTTAAAGGTCCTTCCCAGCCCCAGCTATTCTATGAGTCTGTTTGGGAGAGTGGCACACATAAGACACTGAAATACATTCAGGTAGCCCAGAGAGTCATCTGAATTGTGCTGGAGATATACAGCTCAGAGTCCAAGCTGCAGGAAACCATGAGGGCTGAGAGCAACCCGAGCAACCCTGGTGGGTCAGATGGCTGCTGGCTTTCTCAGGCTGAGCAGCACTCACTCCAGAGCCAGATCCCCCACAGCCAGGGGAAGGCTCTGGACAACAAACCTGGCATCAGATGGGCCTTGGGGTGAGTCACACGCTCTCCGAGAAGGGACTCTGTCACCTTCATTAGTCTTATCTGGGAATTGCTCTGAAACAAAGCATTTTATGAGCCTGAACAAAAACACTGGGGAGCGCTCGGCAGCGAATTCTTTCACATGCTGCCTTTTTGTTTTCTATGATTTCCAGCGTTTCTGGCAAAAACATTTCCTCTGACTGTTTTCCTTCTAGAAACAGTCTTCTTCCAGACAGGGCTACTCTGCTGATATTTAGCAGGGTAGACACAGGGCTATTTAAAACACAGAGCTGGAACATTAGCAAAACACTTGTCTCATTCCAAGACAAGCAGGGAAGGGGAGGGTGCACATTGCCGAGTGCAACCTTGCTTGTCCCTGGGAAGTTTGTGCCTGCATCATGCCGATATGTGCTGAATTTAAGGCTTCTGGGGATGAAGTATGTGGCAAAATCTGACAAGATTTTTTAGAAGCTGCTAGTTCACAGCCTTGAGCATTTATGATTTTTGGCTGCCAGTTCTCACACACATTGCGGTCAGCAGTTTAATTATTTACCAGGCTCTGTACAGTACTGTTCAAGCAGCAACCATCAAATTTGACATTTTGATATTGTGAGGGTAATTGGGTAATTTTTTTTTCTTCCCCTCCCACCGGCTCCAACCCCCTATTCTGCTGGGAGATGCAGAGTCATAGCTCTGCTGGCTTGGCTTCCTGCCACCTCACTGCTCCTTTAAAATCCCATACCTCCCATTGAAGGAACTCAGTGTCCTGTTCACCAGGAGGACGTCAATGTTTCTATGGAAACTCTTCCCAAAGATTCTTGCTCCACGCTGCTGCTGCTGCGTATTGTATGACTGGCTTTGTATACTGCAATTCATTATCCAGGCTGTGACGAAAAGGGAGCAGCTTTCTGCCCAATGGGAAAAAACATTAAATGAAAAAAAACAAACACAAAACACTAACCCCCTCACTCCACCACCTTAATATTAATAAAATAAGCCACTAAAACTAAAGGTGTTGAAGTTGTTTAGCATCTGAGCTATGAATGGAATCTGCTCGCCTGTGCTCCTTGCAGTGAAAAATACCCTTTCCTGAATAATTAACTCAGCTGAAGAAGCTTATAAATTCTTTGTAAGGTCCCTTTTCCTTCCGAGTAGCAAGAAGAAAATTTTCCACCCCTCACAATTACAATTCTGATGATGGATGACTGTCACGTAGGTAACAAATGTGCCTGCGCAGGAACCCTGTGCATGAACTGCGTGGAGAGCAGGGAAAGCTCAAACCCAGGCTCAGATTTTGCATTTGAATTAATGTCTGCAAAGGGGATGCAGAATTAATAGGCTGAAGGACAATTCACATTAATTTCTCATTTGCCTCAATAACAGGAAGTCTCTGGGACCAGCGGAGAACGTGGTGACAATGTTTACATACATGTCCCTTACTAATGATGTCCAAAGGTGGCCAGATTTCCTCTGCAGATGAGCTCCAGGTATTACATATTTAACAGGTAAAATGGTATAGATTTTGTTCCCACCTCTATCACAGATCTGCTATTATTTTGTATTCAGGCATCACTGCTAACTTTGAAAATATGAAGGAGCCTGGAACTTGATTTTCTTGACTTCTACTGGATCGCTGATGGGCTCTTGGCCCCTCAGACAATCAGATTTCAGGTGTCCCAAAACATGTACTTCAAACCCAAGGTACTCAGCTCACAAGACATGCAGAAAGACAGCTCCTTAACCCAAAAGAACTTTGAGATCTGAAGAAAAACATTACACTCTTCTACTATGCTGGGAACCAGCACTGAGTAAAAACCTGAGTAAAATGAAGATGAGAGGAGACAAGTATTTTATTTTTAAACCTTATGAATTTCTGAGTAGTTCTGCTTTGTCGCTTTCCTAGAGAGGAAGATCAGAATTTCAAACTCTGCTCCCTCCCTGATACCACGCTAAAGACTTGTATTACCGTTAATTGATGTTTCTGAGTGCATTCGCATTGATTTACTCCAGCCGTGCTCTTTATGCAGGGAACATTCTATTCTCAGAGCATAATCTAGACCCATATGAACAATATAGATGTTTCCTGATAACATAATTTAGAAAGAGGAGACATAATTACTGCCTGTGCTGAATGCACAGCATCTCTCTGCTTGCCAGAGTACTGCAAAACCATGACCCCTTTCAGAATCCATACAGGGAGAAAAGTCCCAAATCCTTCAATGTGGTTCTCATTTTGCCATTTCCATCTTATTAAATATGCTGGTCCTTGTGCCTTTGATTTTAACTTCCTAAGGATAGCTCATGCTAAAATTATTTAGAAGGCTCTCACAGGCTCTTAGATGAAATTCAGGGATCATTCCTGCGGAAATGTGTCTGTGGGATGTGGGACAGCAGCAACTTGGGCATCTGCTGAGGAAAAATGGGAGGGGACCCAGCAAGTTCTCCTTCAGGTTCTTTTAAGAAGTACAACAAAGCAGGTTCTTGTTGTTAAGGACTTCCCTTAAATACTTGAAGAGGAGATTGGAATTCATTTGACCTGCTCCAAAACCAGTTGGCTTGGCTGTGCATAGTCCAGTTGCTGTGATTTAAAATGAGTAGTTGGAGTGCTTTTGTCTTCTAAATCATCCCACAAACACTGTGCTTCACTGTCTTCTCTCTGATGGAAGGATATCCAGGGTGAGACATTGCAATTCAAATTTTCATCTCTAGGGTCAAATCTGTTTCAGTTCAGTAATGCCTAGAAACCCTGCCATGCAGCAGGATTTGATGTGAAATAAGCACAGCTCCCTCCATGGGACAGTAATTCGAGATCCACAGCACAGAAAAATTACCACTGTAATTGCTCCCTGCATCAGAAAAAAAATAAAATAATAAATAAATAAAAATCAATGACTGAATTGGCCCTGGAGACTGAGTCACTCTGATTTAGAGAGTGGTCCCTCCTGAATACTTTTCCACATTGCAAAGCCACCACATAATGGAACAATTCCGTTCCTCTGACAGCCCTGGCTAAAATAGCCCTAGAGCAAAATAGGGAAGGTGTTGTAGGTCACTGCTGAGGTGCTTGGCAGGGTTGGCAATGAGAACTGTGTCCACACTAAGAGTTTTTCAAACTACTTCAGTGAGACCAGACTTAGCTTGCAAGCCTGATGCAACAGTTCAGAGAGAAGCTGTTTTGTATTTTGGATTCATGCAAATCTGGTATTAGCTTCTCCCTGTGTTCTGTAGCAGCAGCTTCCCTGTTTTCATCCGTGGTTAATGGTCAGGTACAGGCTGCCTCTGGCACCCACTGTCAGAGGAGAGGGCCCAGCTCTCCACCCTGTTTCTTTCCTGGGATCTGACAGAACCTGAATTTAATTTGCCTTGTGATCCTGGCTAAAGTCCTGCTACTCATAAAAATAATTTACTTCTTTAAACTCTTTAAGCATGGCCCTCAATAGGTCTTAAGAACAAGAAATTCCCATTATAATTGTTTATCATTATCTGAATTGGACATGAGGAGAGCAAGAGTTGAGTTCAACGATTGTTGGGATTAAGAGAGAACAAGGAGACCACCTTTAAGGAAAATAACAGCAACCAAACACACATTGAGCAAGCACAAAACACAATCAAAGAGGGGCCAGTTGACAAAAATGGGGCTAAATATCACTGGTATTTAGCATTAATCTCTTTGTCTTTATCTTGCTATGCATCCTCCCAAATCTCATGTCTGGTGTGACTGGACAACCCAGAGGCTTTGATTTAAAACCAGTTCAGGTTAATTCTGCAGAATGAACATGGGCGAGACTAAACTATATAGCTCATGACATAACAATGCCACTCTATTCATGATAAAAAACCAAACTAAAGTTTCAATTTGTTCAAAAAAAGCACCATTTCTAAGGCAGCTGAGCAGCCAAATCAGTGACTGAGTGTAGACATGATTTTCTGAGCCTGAGAGATTTTTCAGCCTGTCAGTGGCTGATTTGTTTCCCAAGAGAAATTCTTTTGGGAAACTTTTCTCTCTCAAGGACTGTTTTTTGTAAATAGGTTTTGGTTCTCAAAACAATGTTGTA